TATATATATATATATATATATATATACTTGGCTCTACTCACAATCAATTAAACCAATTGAATAACATTCTAGCAAAGAAATAGTTCTCAGTATAAGAAAGCAGCACATGTCTACATTGCTATTATCGTTACCCTCAATCATCCTGTCATTCTGAGTTCGCTAGGCTATAATGTCTCCTTACTATACTTATGTTACTATACCATGTAAAATTAGAAAGATGTTTAACAGAATACTTTTAAAAATGAAGTGATAGTTTAATATCGACAAGTAGATATATTTCAATCATCGGAAAAACGAGCTACAGTAACAATTACTGACATTGCACGATATTCTTATCTTGCAACTTGTATTGTTCGACAGTCAATCGATAGCGTACATATCATAGCGTTTTATATCATTACATTTTAGTACATCGGAGAGCAAGTATTAGTCATGCTAGCGAATTTTCTGCGAGAGTACAACGTAAACCGAGTATTTTTATCGATCTCAGGTCTCTGGCTGTTTCAAAGTAAGAATGTAAAAAATTCATTACGGACTGTCTGCTTGCTAATGGAAATAAGTTATTATCCGTTTGAGGTAATGCGTATTGGTCGATATATAATTGATTAGATAAAATAAATCCTACTGATATTCATAATGATCTGTTTATAAAAATATTATTATTATTGTAAAACAGATCTATAGTAATATTGCTGTGCACAAACTTATTATCACAAGATATAATTTATAATATAGTAACATAAAATATATGACAATTAATGGTTAATTAAATAAATAAAATGATTTTATACAATTGATCTTATAACTATACACTTGTAATGCATTTACGAATCATAATTAAACATATGCAGATACTACTGCTGTATGATCATTGGGGTAATCCACAAATGGTTTTCGATGCCTGCTATCAATTTATTTTCACGACTGCTTTTATCGCAAGAGTATTGCATAATATTTGGAATCAGGACAGAGTAAATTCACGAATATTTTATTATCTTCTTTTATTTTATTTATATTGTTATTATTTCTTTTCGTTAGTCTTTTGTTAGAAAATTATTTTATATATAATATGTTTGCAAAAATCATGTCCATTTATTACAAACAGTTGCAACAGTTGTGTATAGCCATTGATAAACATTGGGACATATTTACAAGTGATGTAGAAGTTCGAATCATGAAAGATTACGCTATGCTGTCACGAAGGTTCACAATAGTTTTCTCGAGTAAGTACGTTATGTAGAGTAATTATGTCGTATAAACAAAATAAACTAAAATTTTTATAATCTAAAATAAATCGAGACTATAAGTATAGTGATGTGACAATTGCTATGTTATGAAGTTAAGATGGCGTTAAATAACATTTTTGTTATATAATAACAAATTATTTGAAAAAAATAATGATGTTGCTCTAAAATACTTTTAATTAATATTATTGTAAACAAAGATACATATTATCCTTTCAAAATGTTGCAGCGCTATTGTTTTGCATACTGTTAATATTTGTGACAATACCATTAATACCAGTATTGTTAGACACAGTGTTACCTCTTAATGAATCACGTCCGCGAATTTTTGCGATTGAAGTTGAATTCAGAGTGAATAAAAATGATTACTTTTTAATAATGTTTTGTTACACTACCATTGTAGTTATAATAGGTTTGAACATTTCAATTGGTGTTGATACAATGCACATGGCCTGCACCGCTCATGCATGCAGTTTATTTGCTGCTGTCAGGTAGATCAATTAAATATGGTAAATAATATTGTTATAAGTATTGTATAACCTTATATTCCGTTCATATTTTATGACGTATGTTTCATTTTTCGTACACACATATTATACATATAATAATATTTTATTTAACTTTTGTGAGACATCATTTTTACAGTAAACAAATTGAAAATATAATTTCCAAAGCTTATAATAACAATAAAGTCAGCAAATATGGATATCGTGTAAATATGGAACTTAATCCATTTAATGAGGGAATAATATATCGGGAATATATAATATGTTTAAAGAAACATCAGCTTGCTATAGAGTAAGCAAGTTTTATCGCTATATCGTAATTGTTTTTCTATAAATGAAATGTCTCCTTTTTTCTCCCTTCCTTGAGCCTCAATGGATTATTAACGTGACTTATAAATTTTTAATCTAGATTTGTTAATATATTGGAATCATCATTTCAAGGGCTTTCATTGCTTTTATTACTATTAATTCTTGGAAATATAAGTCTAATCGGAGTCCGAGTAAGTATTATAAAAATTATTTCTATAAAATATATATCCCGAAGAGATATTTTAGAGAAGTTGCGGAATTACAAAAGAAAATAGGGATTTACTAATAACGGATTAAAAATATGCAATCATACAAAACAATCAAACTCATAATCGTTATGATGCGCGCTTAATCGCATCTCGAATTGATCGATTAAGGCGGTTCGCTTCTGACTTTGGAGTAAAAAATGCAACTGAAATAAATTGTCATTACAGTGATACCGTATCATATGCAATATTAGTGTAATAAATTATGGATACTATTTATGTATTATATTCTTAGTAAATTATTAGTGTATATA